GTTGGCATGGGAGATACATACTTCCTGACTCAAAACTCACTGCAAAGTAATAGTAATCAAGATTTATGGTACTAGTATAAGAATATAGATCTTGATCAATGTAATAGAATATAATGCTCAAAAATGAATACATACATTTAAAGTGAAATAATATTATAATGTCACCAAATAAATTACATATGGATAAATGTTTTTAATAAAATATTTCTAAGCAAGTGCATATTCCATGCAAGTCGAACCCCTGCCTCACACTGAAAATGTAAGTGACTCAAAATGATCATATATCTATAATAGCTAAACAGGCCCAGAATGTAGAAAATAACACAGGAATACATCTTCCTGGTCTTAGGTTAAACAATCTTTTCTAAGATATGATGCCGAAAGCAAAAGGGAAGAAGAAAAATCAGGCATATTAAACCTCAGTAGAATGTGAAACTTTTGTGATTCACACTGCACCGACAAAAATAAAGACACCCAAAGAATGGGAGCAAATATTTGCAAACAAAAGCAAAAATTGGCAAATGAAACCTAATTAAACTTAGTTTTCTGCACAGCAAAAGAAAACTATCTACAGAATGAACAGACAACCTACAGAATGGGAGAAAAGTTTTGCAACCTATGCATATGACCAAAGTCTAATATGCAGCATCTATAAGGAACTTAAACAAATGTTCAAGAAAAAAAAACCAACTCCATAAAAAAAGAGGGCAAAGGACACGAACAGACACTTTCAACAGAAGATATATATGTGGCTAACAATCATATGAAGAAAAGCTCAACCTCACCGATCCTGAAAGAAATGCAATTAAAAATCACAATGTGATACCATCTAACACCAGTCAGAATGGCTATTATTAAATAGTCAAGAAATAGATACTGGCAAGGTTGTGGAACAAAGGAATTACTTACACACCATTGGTGGACGTCTAAATTAGTTCAACCATTGTGGAAGGCAGTGTGGAGACTACACGAAGACCTAAAAACAGAAATATCATTTAACCCAGCAATCCCATTACTGAGCATATAGCCAAAGAAATAAAAAGTGTCCTGTGAAGAAGACACATGCATGCATAGGTTCATTGCAGCACTATTCACAATAGCAAGAATGTGGAATCAACCTAAATGCCCATCAGTGGTAGACTGCATAACGAAAATGTGGAACGTACACACCACGGAATACTACACAGCCATAAAAAATATCATGTCTTTTACACGAAAATGGATGGCGCTGGAGGCTATTATCCTTAGCAAACTAATGCAGGAACAGAAAACCAAATGCCATGTTTTTTCCGTTATAAGTGGGGGAGGTAAATGACAAGAACACAAACACAAGTGGGGAACAGCACACACTGAGGTTTATCAGAGGGTGGGAGGCGAGAAAGGATCAGAAAAGATAACTAATGGGTACCAGGCTTTAGTACATTGGTGATGAAATAATCTACAACAAACCACCAAAACACAAGTTTACCTATGTAACAAATGTGCACATGTACCCTGAAACTTAAGTTAAATTAAAAAGCAAGTATTTGCAAGTTTTATAGGTGATAATGGTCATTATTAATAATATATGGCAACTTCTTAAGAGCTCAAAAATAAATTGCATATATCTCAATCAAAAATGGAAATTATTCAAATACCCAATTCTCCAAAAAAGCTACAGTCATATCCGAATCACACGAAAAGACACTCAATGCCTTCTGCCATTATGAGGGAGGAGACTGGCAAGTTGTTTTCTAGTCACAATCCTGCTGATCAAAATAAGATCTGGTCCAGACAGCATATAGTGAAGAAACCGGCAAAAGAAGACAAAGGGATCCCTGTTGTCCTCATTGCTCTCCAGCATGAGACATTCCCTCCAGCGCCATGACTGTTTACAAATTCCATGCCAACCACCAGGAATTTACCACCTCTTTCCATGGCAACAACCCAGAAGTTACTGCTCCTGTCCTGGAAAGTTCTGAATAACCTGCCCATTCAGTTTCATTGGTCCACCCCTCAACTTCCATGTCATTGAAAGTAGTTTTACCTTAGTGTAAAGACAGTTGATAAGAGCACATAGGTTACCAACATATGCAATGCCTATGAGTCAGCCCTGCTCTTAAAGGAGCAGTACTGCTCAATAAAAGACTGCCATCTATCACCACAGGCTTGCCCTTAAATACTTTCCTGGGCAAAGCCAAGAACCCTGCCAGTTGAAGCCCCAAATTTGGGGCTCACCTGTCCTGCAACAATAGGGGATGGGAAGTCTAAAAACATGATATATACTTCAAAAATCTAAAAGGTATATTGCTATGTGAAAAAATACAAGTTGGAAAAGGCAAAATACTGTGTAATTCTACCTATAAGACTCTCTAGAAAAGGAAAAAAGTATAGTGATAGCAAAGAGTCTGGTGGTAACAGGGGGCTTGCGAGACAGAAAGGTGGAATCAGTGAAATACAGGAGGTTTCTTTGGGGCAGTGAAATCACTCTCTCTGATACTGTATTGGTGGATACATAATAATGTTTTCTGAATCCTGAAGAACTTTATAACACAAAGAGTGTACTAAATTATGCAAACATAAAACCTTATTTAGTAGGTAGAGGGTTTCCAAGGAGGAATGTCCCCAAAAATAATATAACAACGTAATGAATGTATGGAATAACCTCACTAAAGAAAGTGGAGGAAAGCAATGGACCTAAGTAACTAGGGTAATAAGTGGACATGCCGAGGCTAAAAGCCAAAGTATTTATCCCTAAGTGCTGTACTTTACTTGGTAAAACTGTTTCCCATTGGGGTGTAAGTTACCTGTTCTGAAACCACTGTGCATGTATGTTCAGGCAGTATGATTAAGAGAACAGCACCAACTTCTTCACAGGGAGAGGAACAGACTACATACATCATTCATGTGGTGCTGGCTTAGATTATATGGTATTGGAAACATTAGCAGAAATTACACAATTATACAGTTAGCCTGGAGTACAATTAAATACAGAGTTAGCCTGGAACACCTAGTAGTGGTTAAAGAAAATGCTGAACAACAACAAAACCAACCAACCATACAACACTGAACCTTAATTACGTGGGTATTTCAAAATTATACCAGGGACAACTGAAAAACCTTCCAATAGTCAACCATGCAATAATTTGAGCAATCAAATAAATTAGCATATGTAAAGTATAAAATATCCATGTTTACATGATGATATAAATAATTTACGTATAAATGAATATATATGTAATAGAATAGACACATGTTTATGGTTGAGGGTTCAAATAAATTTGTAGACATTCTGCCAATAAGAAGGTAGATCATGCATCCCCACATTTTTGTTTTGTTTGAGATAGAGTCTGGAGTCTTGCTCTGCTGCCCAGGCTGGAGTGCAGTGGCATGATCTCAGCTCACCTCAACCTCTGCCTTCCAGGTTCAAGTGATTCTCCTGCCTAAGCCTCCCGAGTAGCTGGGAGTACAGGCACGTGCACCGTGCCTAGCTAATTTTTGTATTTTTAGAGGTTTCACCATGTTGGCCAGGCTGGTCTCGAACTCCTGACCTTAGGTGATCCACCTGCCTCAGCCTCCCACAGTGCTGGGATTACAGGCATGAGCCATCGTGCTTGGCCCATGACTCCCCACTTCTTAAATGTGTGTTGTGTTAGTGACTTTGTTCTGAAACATTCTATGGGGAAAAGGAAAAATAATAATCATTTCACACTGTGTGATAATTTGATAAAAATGACTTCATCTAGGTGATCAAATTAACATTAATAATGATAAAGGCTGTCGAGAGCCTGTGTCCTTGGTATGATGTGAGGAGAATGGCACCTTTCCTCTGTCATCTTCCTCTCCCAAACCCACAAATCTAGTCTTATCATGAAAAAAACCTCAGAGAAATCCCACATTAGGAATGTCAATGTAATCAAAAACTAGAAAATTCTAAGAAACTGTGACAGTCAGAGAAGTCTAAGGAGACATGATACCCAACCGTGCTGAGGTATCCTGGGTGAGATCCTGGAACAGAAATTAAAAATTAAGTGAAACATAAGAAAATCTGAATCAAGTATGAAGAGTAGTTAATGATACTGTTTAAAATTGGTTAATTGTGACGAATGTCCCACATTAAGAAGTTAATAAAAAGAGCAACTGTAGTGGGATATATGGAAAATCTATGTACTACATTTAAAACAATTCTATAAACCCCAAACGATTCTTAAATGTATAAGGCTTCTTTTTATTTAAAGTCACTGCTGACCTTATAAAATAGAACATGAGCAATGTGTTCATGGCCGTTAATGGATCTCTTTAGCTTAACCATCTTCCTTAATCACTGAAGGTCCCTATCACTGTGCAATTATTTGCTATCCTCTTATTTGTGTTTGTTATATTTATCTGTGTTTATATTTCTAATATCCATAATGTCTAGTTCTTCTTGTCTTCAAACTTAGATGACAGGTGTTTAATGTATACATGTCCCTAGTTTAATCGTGAGAAATCATGAGACAAATCCATATTGTGGGACATCTTACAAAATACAAAATATCTGACCTGTACATTTCAAAAGGGTCAAGGTCAAGAAAAATAAGTGGAGACTATGAAACTTGCAGATTGGAGAAGACCTAATGTGTCAGTTAGACCCTACAACGGTGCCCAGTGATCCCCACCTGCAAGAAATACCTTTGCTTTGCTGAGTTGCTTCCTCGTGTCTCATGTGACCAGCACATGTGAACTCAACTTTTTTCCAACTCAGAGCGCTCCTAGACAGTAGTTACCTTGGTGGGAATGGAGTGGACACATTCGCCTTCTGCCATGATCGTGAGGTCTCCCCGACCATGTGAAACTGTGAGCCAATTAAACCTCTTTCCTTTATAAATTACCATTAGCATGAGAACAGATTAATATACCAAAGGACAATACAGATCCATAACGTGAGTGTCAAGAGAATGTGTGGTCCCATAAATTCGTGATGGAGTCTGCACAATGAAGAAAACTGAATTATCACAGTGTTTTCTCAAAGGCTTAAGGCATCGTATTCTTTCAAAACTTGGAAAAAAAGGAATCTGTACTAAGAAAACAGGTTTAATGCAGAAATATATCTGTTCTCCATCACTGGTGTTTCTCAGTCTTCTCTTCTAATGCCTGGAAGTCATGTCTTCTAAAATGTCTTTATACTGAGATCCTACAAAGACACTGCCAGAAAGTGCCTGCAAACAGGGCCCTCTAACATATGTGAGAAAGGCATCTTTCCTTGGAAAAGTGGTTACGAACACAGGGATTGGTAACTGGGTAATGGTGTGATTGGAAGAAGAAAATGCAAGAGTGTCCCTGGAGCATGATGGTGTCTTTCTGAAGCAGGTGCCCTGTGTAGGAATGGGGTATAATAAGGCAAGCTACTTTGCCATAGTCCCCCTACATCTCCATTCATCCTCTGATCTGTGGTTTTATTGTGGTTTAAATCTGTCTCTGTTATTGTTATTTTATTTTTTGGTACCTGAATATTACATTTTAAGAAATGCTTTCATCATAGTTTTAGTTTTACAGAAAGTAGTAAAGATAATAGAGTTTCATATATCCTACAGCTTCCTGAAATGTGAACACCTTATATCACCATAGCATGTTTATGAAAACTCAGAAATTGACAGTGGTACAAAACTATTAACTGAAATAGATTTTCTTCATATTTTACCAGGTTTTCCACTATGTCATTTTTCTGTTCAAGGATCTAATCGAAGATACCACATTATATTTACTGTCAGGCATATTACCGATTGATCGTTGTATAACATATTACTACACAGTTCAGACTTTCAAACCCAGCCCTATATAGTACTTACAGTTTCTCTGGGTCAGATACCTGGCAGAGAGTTCAAGGAAAGGCTCACCTGGTAAAGTATCCCCTTCCAAGCTCCTAGAATTCTTGTAAGGATTCAATTTCTGTCCAGGTCAAGATGACTTCACTGGTGTGTTATTCGAAGCCTTTCAGCATTAATAACAACCAATAAAATCAGACGAGTAGAGAACCTTTCCCAATGCACTGTATGAAGCCAGTGTTCCCTGACACCACGGCTAGAGAAAGACATTTCCGGAAAGGAAAATTACAGACCAATATGAAATAGGTAAAAAGTATCAAGAAAGTACTATCAAAATTAACTAGTAACATATAAAAAGGATTATACACTAGGAGCAAAACTATTTATCCTTGCAATGTAAGTTTGGTTAAACATACAAAAACAACTGGTGTTAGAAACTATAGTAATAGAATTTTTTTAAAAGACTCATGGTCACCTCTAAAGATGCAGAAAAGGTATTTGACAAATTCCAAACCCATTCATGATAAAAGCTCTGGGAAAGTTAGGCATAGAAGAAAACTTGCTAAACCTACAAAGAGCATCCACGGAAAACTCACATAACGTAAGGAAAGACATACAAGCCAATAGAATAGAGTTGAGCACGCCAAAATCCATCTTTATATATAGGGCAAACTTATTTTCAAGGTTGAAAAATTGATTCAAGAGGAAAAAATAGTTTCTCAACAAATGTTGCTGGGAGAAAGGGATATCCACATGGAAGTTTAACTCTTTCCTGTACCATATATGTATTTGACTCAAAATAGAATACGTGGCTAACTGTAATAGCTAAAACTAAAAATCCCACAGAAGAGAACATGGGAATAGGTTTTCATGGCCTTATGTGAAACAATGGATTCTAACATGTGACACAAAAGTGCAAGTGACAGAAAAAAAAATAGATGCATTGAACTTCACGTGGATCAATATCTTTTAAGATGCAAAGTGCACCATCAAGACAACTGAAATAATGGAAGAAGATATTCCCAAGTCATATAACTGTTAGGAGACTATTACCAGGAATATAAGAAACGTTCAGGTATGTACCACCACACTTGGCTAATTTTTGTATTTTTAGTAGAGATGGGGTTTCATCATGTTAGTTAGGCTGGGCTCAAACTCCTGGCCTCAAGTGATCCACCCACCTCAGCTTCCCAAATTGCTGGGATTATAGGCATGAGCCACCACACCCAGCCTCATTCTTCTTTATTATTTTCTAAATTTGTATTTCTAAATAATATATTGTTCAGGATTTTTGTCTTCAACATTAGATAAATATGTGTATAAATTCATGTTTAATCTTAGTCAAATTATGAAAAAATATAACAAATCCATATCATGATATATCCTATGGAACACCTGACAAGTTCTTTTCACTAGGATCAAGGTCAAAAAAATAAGTGAAGACCCAGAAACTGATACAGATTAGACAGGACCTGAAGTGGCAGGTAGGTTCTAAGATGCTTCCCAAGGATCCACACCTCTAGATATGCAAAACTCTAGGCTAATACCCTCACTGTGAGGTTAAGACACGCCATACCACACGCATAAACAAACACAAAAGGGGCAAAGTGTATGGAACAATGGCTTGCAAGAGAGACTATATCAAACAGGGAAGGACAGTGATACCTGAGACATACAATGCTGTGACATGAGCTCTACCATTGCCTCAAGATACTGCTTTGGGAGATTTTCCAGGCTGTGCTGTGGCATGGACTTTGGAAGACACTGTGAGTTGAGAAGAGGGAACTGAGAGTCGAGTACAGATTGGCTGGATCGCATCTAGAATTTCTTCACATCCGGTGGTAAGAATGGGAGACGGCATGGCTGCTATTGTCATCATTACTCACTGAAATACGGTTCGCAGAAGCACAGGAGCAATGCAGAAACAAAGGTAGAGACACAAAGAAAAGTTACTTGAAAGAAGATTTAATATTGCACAGAGACTGACGCCTTTACATGTTGTACAAAACCAAGGCTTAAAAAATAACCATTTGAGATAAAGTAAATGATGTGTCAAAGTCGAATGAACCAACCAAGTGGACACAAACCTACCTTTACTATACAATTTTCATACATGTGCCTGATGAACTCACTATATTATAAAATAATGAAAGTAGAGCTTTCTATTTATAAGAGCAGAACACAATTGTCAGAAAAACAAGGATTAAAAATATTTTTACCTCTATTTGTTTCCCTATAAAACCTTAAGTTTCCTTTAAATTTGGAAAATAACTTGTCACTTTCTTCACTACATAAATTCCACTGCCATTCTACTTTGCATGGAGTATAGGGTTGCTATTTTTATGCAGTGAAGTTAATTTAAATTAAGTTATTTATATGCAGTGAAATTAATTTAAATTAAGTTGCTAATTATCTGCAGTGAAACTAAGTTAAGTTAAATTGCCAGGCTGCAATATAATAGATGAGGGGTTGTTATTGTTGTTATTTTAACCAAGATCTGCCACTGAAATTCTGTGTGTACAGTATTGAAGCCAAGAGACCCTGGAAGCCACCCTCACTGGAAAATCAAACGCCCATCTACTGATCTGGAGTACTTGTAAAACATCAGTGTTCACGCTCTCTTGGTTGCTCACATCT